AGTCTGAGTGCACTGCTGCAAGGCCAGGGCTTTTTGACAACAGAAAGCCCTGGCCCCTTGCATCCCCTCTGTTCTCAACACCTCACGAGGCTTTGTACTGAATCTGTCTCAGAAGTGCTCTGCTAGCAGACTGCAGTCTGGTCACTCACAAAATCCAAGGGTCAGTTGAGGCAAGAGAAAAACAGGGCTGGCTTTTTAAGACCACCATGTACACCCTAGGAAGTCAGATGTGCCCTAAAAATAAAGCAGTTTGCGCACTGATTTCAAAGCCCATTCCTCTGCATGAAATGCTGTGCCCGCTCACTCCCCCTTTCATCCCTGGCAGTGCTGCTTGCTTGCACACCTTCCTCAGCACATGCTCCCGAGTCATCCCCTGCTACGGAGCTCTTGCTCTATCTGGGGTTATGAACCAATTTGGAACACGGAGGAAGAACTCCCAGAGAGCCCCAGGCGGCCAGGTGAGCTGTCCCCAGTCATCCTGTCTTAGCCAGCTGCTCCTCTCATGTGGAGCCAAGACTGGGAACATTCTCTTCTCCATCCACGCTCCATTCAGGTCTTCCTCCGAGGGCCTGCAGCACACATTCCCCAGCAACAATGTAATGATGGCCTCCAGTTATGAGAATGCCCCCCACCCAGGGGCCACACACAGCCTCAGTGCTTTCTACATAGTGCTTATGACAGCCTTGTAGAGCAGACATGATCATTTCCAATTTCCATATGAAGCTACTTAGGGCCACAGGCACAGCCAACATTCTAGCCCCCACCCAGCTGATGTCCCAGCCTGGTGCTCAGCCATGTTGCTCTAAGACTTCCCTAAAACCTACCCCGTCATCCAGAGAACTTACAAAGCCCAGCTAGCCCTCCTCGTCGGGTGAGTTATTTCATCCTCTGAAAAAATAGGGAACACTATCAAAATGCAGCTCTGCCTTATCCACTGAACCCACCGTTTCCAAAACAAGGGCCTCATGGGACTCACTGATAAAAGACATAACTTACTAGATCATTCACTGGCTGGGTAGGAGGTGCAGGACAGGAGGCATGGGAGGAGGGGGAATGTGCTAGAGTCAGAGGAACCTTCTCTACCTTCTCGGTTTGGTGGAGATGCATCTGGCTGGCTAGTGATGCCACCAAGCAATCGGCCTTCTAAGGTGGTGTTGGGCGACAGACTGTTAATTTCCAAGTGGTTTACTGCCAGGGGTCAAGCACACTTGGGAGTCCAAAGGGACTCACAGGGCTGTCCTTTGCTTGTATCAGACCACATATTCCAACCCCTACGGATTCCACAGGGACCAGAGCTGAGAAACAGTCCTCACTCCTTCAAGCCAGGCTCCTGCGGTCACCCTCTCGTGGGTGAGGGGGGAAAGCTCTCTTGTTCCCCACGGCCCTCCTACCCTGCTTTGGTGTGGTTGAGTGGGAGGGGGAGGCCCTCCCTGTGGTCTGGCCTCAGGGTAGAACAACCACAAGACAATCAGACTGCCGAAATTAACGTCACCATAGCCCTGTTGCTCTTATGCTCAAACAGCCTCTTTGTAGTGTTGAATTCTATCGTGTGTATAATATAGATACATATAGGTAGGCCCCAGGAAAGAGTGGGAAAGGGGAGAGAAACCAGTCACACTGCATTTATCACCCTCTGTAAATTTTCACACTCCATTTGTGGTTCCTGTGAGAAGCTACCTGAATAGGTGCTTATTTCGAAATGACAGCCTGCATCTCCATCCCTAAGAGGGTAGTATTTTCCACAAAGCTGAGTCAATGATGTAAAGCCAGCCCTTTTTTCCATAAGGTAAACCACACGGTAGGTTGGAAACATGGCATCCATGGATTTGCTCCTAGTACATGCACCTTGTGAAAAGGAGCATTTTAAATGAGACCCAGGAGGCAAATACCTTTAAGAGTTCACAATCCTAATAAAGAGAAAGTGTCTACACAGAGCAGCATTTTCCACAATTCCCCTTATTTTCATGACAGACCCACCCTCAGACCAGAGTCCATCTGTAAACTCCCAGAGTGACTGTGCGGTCCCCACCTGGCCCAACTCTCTCTGTGTTCAGCTCAGCCCCCCACCAGGCACACAGCCAGTCCTCCCCTAGTCGGCCCCACCCCACCACCATCTTCAGGCCTAGCACGTTAGAGCCAGAGAAACAAGCCCAAGGCCCTCAGTTGAATTTTTCTTATGGGTGATTTTTTTTTCCAGTGTTTGGCTAATGGTTTTAGGAAATCAAGAACCACTTTCAAAGGTGCTTAGAACAGAAAGCTGTTTCAACTTTGGACCTGAAAAAATACAAAATGAGGCCATTTCTGGAATGCTGTGCCCCCTCCCTACCTACCCCTCTCCCACCCTCCTCAAAGATTAAAGGATGGCCTTAGGGAGCAGGCCGCATGACTACAGCACCCTCTGATTTCTCCCTCCCAGAATAACGACACCGCACAATGCAGTGTATTGTTTTGTTACATATAATATTTTTTTTGGTCTAACATTGAAAGGATATGGAGTCTTCCTATATCCTTATTTCCAACTTTTGGGTAGCATTTTTCCAGTTTTTTCCACAAAGGTTTTCTTTCATTTGTATCTACACCTCTAGGAGGTAAATAAGGAGGTACATTTCTCAAGTTGGCCCTTAGGGAAAAACTAAGTCCCACAGGGATGAGAAGTTATTTGCAACCTCAGGGTGAAGTCCACATAAAGCTAGAACTGGAGACCCTCCCAGGGATGCCAATCCCAAAGAAGCAGAGCCCACAGGGCCTCTGCATGGCATCACACAACAGCCCTGCTAAGGCTTTCTGCCTCCTAATTGATATAAGAAGGCACATCCCATTCCCAGTCAGTGCCCCAACCCCACAGGCAAAACCCACAGGCAAACCGCAGGATCTAGCTTAGAAGCCCTCAGACACGGGTGAAGAATGAGCCTTTGCAGAGCACACCCTCCCATCTTCGTTACAGACTTGGCAGGGCACAGGCCAGGGCCTGCTGCTGGATCACATCCTTCACATTTTAAAGACAATTTATTAAAGGAAAACAGGAAGGGAATGAGCAGAGTGAAATGGCTGGTCTGAGTTGAACTGACAGAGTGAATTAACATTGTCTCCCCACCTTGTGACCAGTACTCCATGAGAAATGCATGCTAACAAGTAGAAACGGGGAGGGGGGGAAGTGGGTTTGGCCCTTTTTGTATATACTCTGCAACACTGACGTCATGTTGCAGGCTTGGGTGTTCACAGCGAGCTCACGAGGATTTTTACCTCCTCTGTTAAAGCATCACTTTCAAAATATTGGAAGCTTGACTCTCATACTGTCAAATACATCCAAGCGCATTTGTCCAACTCATTAATGAGGGAGCCAAGAGGGTGGCATAGCTGCCTCTCAGAGCTCAGAGGGACAGGCGCGCAGGGCCAGCTGGGAGGAGAACGCTGAGGTGGACGCCTCATGCCTCTGTCCATGCAGGCTGCAGTAACAGACCTCCTGGCTCAGAGAGAGCTGTCTCCCGCTGCATCCTTACAAGGCAGAAGGGCAAGGGAGCTCTCCAGGTCTCTCTTGTAAATTCACTAAAGCTATTCAGGAGGGCTCCACCTCTGTGACCGGATCCCCTGCCAGGGCCTCACCTCCTAGTACCGTCACCCTGGGGCTTAGGATTTCAACACAAATTTTAGGAGGTGGGGAACACAAACATTTATTTCATTGCATTAAGTTACTTATAAAACTGGTTAGTATTCTTTTTATTTTTTCTTTTGAGAAGGCTAGAAGACAGTTTTATTTAGCCAGGAGAAAGTACACTCTGGAAGAGAAATGCATGCTAACAAGTAGAGCTTTTTCCCCCTGAGAGAGTGGCAGCCTGAGGGGTCAGCATCAGCCTGGTTAGGGTTCTACCAGACAGGAAAACTAACATGGGTGGTTTTCCTTTCAACAAGACAGAAATCACGTGCATCTTTAATGGACAAAAATTATATGCAACTTATGTTCAATAAGTTAACATGTAACTTCACAAAATTTGAATCCTAATTGCCAGTTAAGTAGTATGTGAAGCAGAGGTACATACCCACCCCTAAAGGTTTAAATAATCCTTGAGAGGGGCAAGTGGGCAACACTCTGGTATGACTTTGCAAGGACATAGAGTCATCCATTTTCCTTATCTCCAAGTTTGGGGTAATTTTTCTTAGTGCCCGCTCAGCCCCCTGGCAGTTTGGGCAGCTTCTAGCAAGTCAGTGGTGTCGCCTGACTTACAGCTTCATGACCAGACCCTTGGCTAACCAGGCACAGGTCACAGCAACTCCACTCCTCTAGGGAAAATGAGCTGCATACTGAAAATTAAGCATAATATTAAATCACTGATTTCAAACAGCCATACAATGAAGAGCAACATTTAAAGAAATCCAAGCAGCCCGATAAAACCTGGTGCCTTGAGACATCTTACCTTTTATCATATCACAGCTCAGATTTGTTAAGGTCTTTTCAAGTTAGCTTTATAAAGGCACTGTGGTTCTTCCAGAGCAGAGAAAGACAGCCCTGGGCTGCAGTTTGTGAGTGTAACGGAGTGCAGAGAGCATCAAGAGTCAGGAAAAAGAACTAATGACACTTAACCTGACTGCCTAGAGCGAGAGCCACCCAGTCTTTTCTTGTGTAAATTACCCGAGGCTTCTGAGAAATGCGCCTACCCTAAGTTAGATAACTAGAAGTGGGCAACAGCCTGGGAACGCCTGGGGATGTAACCTGTGATAAGTCACGTAGACATGCTTGGGTAAGCAAGAGATAATTGAAGCGGGCAGGCAACTGGCGCGTTCCCTAAAAAGGTTACAATGTTTCCCATTGGTTACAATATAGAGTGTGTTTTAAACCTATTAGTTGTAGAACTTCGCGGGCTTTGGTGTAACGGCTGTGAAGATCCTATATAATCAGTACCCAAAGTTGCTTCGGGGTCGGCAGCTCGGACTCGGCCTGCGTGTCAGGGGAGGTGCTGTCGACCCCAGCTTGCTGGCTGAATAAAGACTTTGCTTGGATTTTCATCTCCGTGTCCGTGTGTCTTGTTCTCTGGGAAACCCCGGAGTCCTGGACCCTAATAGTGAGCAATAAATGGGTTTTAAACTTTAAAAAAAAGGGGGCACTGTGTCTATTCCTCTAAAGATCAGTCCGCAACCTCAGGCTCAGCCATCTGAGTTAAGGTTACACAGTAAAGAATGGGGGCAGGGCCTGGGATCATGGAACAAGGGGCTGGCATGGGAGAGGACCAGATGTACCAGAGGTATCTGAAAGCCTGTGGTTAAATCAGAGCTGGAGTCTGAAATACCCTTATAAAGAGTCCTTATAAAGAGTCATCCAAAACATGGCCAGGCAAGCATCCATCTCCTGCTATCCAATCTAAAGACCCCATTCATTCCTTCCTTCACATCCCTGAGGCCACCACTCTATCTATGCCTTTAGCCTGCCATGCCTAGTTTACTACAATAGTATCCAAGGTCTTCCCAGGCTAGTCCCTCCAAACACCACTGAAAGATTAATTCATTCAATTCACTCAGCAAATACTTACTGAGCAGCTTCCAAATGCAGAACTGTTGAAGGTCTTGGTGATAATCAGAAAAAAGACAAATTTCTTCATTCTCTCCAATTTCCTTAAGAGAAAGGGGACATTGAACAAAAGTAATGTCAAGTGGTGATAAGGAAAACAGAAACAAGCAGGGTTAGTTAAGAGATAAATGGTAGAGGGTTATTTCATTGCAAATGCTCATGAAATTTCTTGGGTAATAACTGACCTCTTAATATCCTAATCATAACCAGTGAATCTGTAAAAGCAGATGAAATCCTTCTGTAAATTCAAGTGAACAGAAAAAATTTTTCAAATGCCTGACCAAGTCCCTGGAATAGAAATGCTTTTCCTGTGTTTTGGTATTTTAATAAAGACCATATGATATGAGCCTTATTAAAAAAAAAAAAGGATAACAGAAGGGGAGGTTACTATTGTATACAAAGTGGCCCTGTGATAAGGGACCTAAGGGAATGAAAGAGTTAGCTATGCAGATATCAGAAGGAACATGTTTCAGAGAAAACAACTAGTGCAAAGGCCCCAGGGCAGGCATGTGCAAGCAAATTAAAGGATCTCAAGGAGTCTGGTAAGGAAAGAGAATGTAAGCAGTCCGAACTTGGTTGGAGGAAAAGACACAGAGGCACCACAGACAAGACCACGTGGAGCCCTGGAGGCCATGTGAAGGATTTAGAATATTGTTCTGAGGGACATGGAGAACCATGTGATGGCTTTGAACAGGGGAGTGAAATGACCCAACTTGTTTTTAAAGGATGCAGAGAGCTGCCCAGGTGGGGTGAGGGGAGAAGCGGGAAGTCACATGGGCAGCACTAGCAGGGGTCCAGCAGGGATGGTGGTGACAGTGGCTTTGAGTGCAGGGGTGGGGAGAAGGGATGGATTATGGACAGAGTTGAAGGAGAGTTGGTGTCAGGTGTGAGATAAAGAGAAAAGTCATAGATGACGCCAGGGTTTGCACCCTGAGTAGCTGGCAGAAGGGAGTGTTTTCCTGAGTCTGGGAGGGTTGGAGGACTGAGAGAAGAACGGGCTGGGGCAGGAACATGGATTCAGAGCTCAGCTGGGGATATGTTCCAAGATGCCTACAGGAGATCCAGGTGGAGATGAGACGTAGGCAGTGGGCTATATGCACCTGGATTCAGGGCAGACTCCAGACTGGAGAATTATGCTGGACAGTGGAAAGCAGGGAGCAGAGAAATTTTCACGTTACACACACACACACACACACACTACAGTCATGTATGTGTTCAACACCGACAGCACTGATAGAACATAGATATTTATTGGCAGGATGATGAAAGTTGGCAGCATTTAGAAGGAATCTAAAGCCAGACATAGCTCCTCACTTAGAGAGTGAGCAGAGAAAGGGAAAAGCCCTGAGAACGAACCTGCGTTTCTCTAGCACATTTGTCTAAAACAATGCTCACATGGCCACCCTCCAGAACCATCCAAGATGCTTCTTGTCCAAATGCTTTGGGCTGATATCCTTGGGGCCGTGCCTGCCAAGGCCACCACCACCCCTCCCCAACATGAGCCTTCACTGGGGCCAGCCCTGGTCCCCACAGACCGCCCACCCCAGAGAACCGGGGCTCACACCATTTGCCTTTGTAGGACGGTCTCCTACTCCTCTGTTCTGCTTGATTCTTTCTGACCCAGCCATCCGAGACAGTCTGAGCCCATCCCTCACATCAGTGCTGCTGTAAGCCCTGCCCTGCGGAACCCTCTCTGACATCCTCCATCTCAGGCCAGCCTCAGGGACCTTTCCCATTAACCAGGACCAGCCTCTGCTGTCCAGTTCCAGGGACTTTCTCTCCCCCAGTGAGGGTGTGGTCTGACACCATACCCAACAGGGAGCAACATTCAGTAGACATTTGTTCATAGCTGATGAGAGTTGTCTGGACAAAGAGAAGGGTCACCCCATCATTCACCCTGGATGACCAGTGTCCCTGGGTGGGCCCCCAAGGCCCACGGACAGCCTCTGGTCTGCAGCCAGCTTCGAGTGAGTCCCAGCAGGGTGAGCTCTTCTCCTTCTAACAACCAGTGGGCAGCCAAGCATCCTCCCGCTTCTTACAAGAGAAAATCACGGGTGTTTTCCTCCTTCGTGCTGACCTTCCATTCCGTTTGGCTGTGCAAAACCTGGAAAAGAACACGATGAGGCTACCTAGGGCCCCACGCCACGGCCCCCGCGACCACCCTTTCCAACCAGAAGTATCTTCCTCTGATGAGAGAGCCTTTCTCTAACTGTAAATTATTTCTAAATTGTATATCCTGTTTAATGTGTTTCAGAAAATGGTAGAAAAATACTTCTACCACAATTATAGTCATTTTGTAACTAAACCCCACAGTTTCCCAGCTCCTTCCAAACCTACTTATTTTAAAACAGAAAAATACTGCCATTTCCCAACATTGAATAAATCGGGGGTGTGTCCAGTAGACCACTTTCCTCCCTGGATTATCCTGGGACTATTGGATTAAAGCAAATTAGGTGACATAGCATGCTGCTCTCTTTCAGAGAGATTGCAAAAAAACAGGTTTAAGGGGGGAGGGGGCAGATGGGAGCACACAGCGAGCTGGGTAGGGACCAAGTCACTGAGACCAGTGACAAGGAGACACTGATCCTGGAGAAGACTGGGTGCCTGGAGGTCAGAGAGCTGTGTGCTGGGGTGGGGTGGGCCTCACAGCATTTTCCAACACTGGGACAGGACCCCATACCTTTCCAAAGAATGAGCTATAGCCCAGAAGCTCATGGGGTGACATGTTCTAGTGTCTAGCCACTGCTCTCAATGAAAAAATAGAGAGAACCCCACAAACAAGGCTTTAAAAAGAGTGAACCTCACCTAAACTTGACCCTGGGTCTTAATCTGCACGTGTGTCCCCCAGCTGATGCCTGGACTTCCACTAGTGAGACATAACTAAACTAGGGGTTCTGCGGCAACCAGAGCCCCAGAGACTGGGGACAGAGAGGGAAGATCACCCAGAAAATTTAGGACAACAGGAGAGAGGTTTTTTTCCAGAAGATGGATTTTACCTAATGATAAATGCCACAGATCACATGATCTGGAGATTGCCAGGAAATATGCAAGGTCATGTGGACAAAGCCGACTTCCAGAGGAGGAGGTTGAAGGACCCCAAGAGAAGCAGCCATTTTGCTCTTCAGAAGGTCCACAGACACTGTGAGCAAGAGGCTTCCAAGATAACACAGGATTCAGGGGCTGCCAAAAGCTAGGGTACCCCCTCGCCCTGCTCATCCAAAAGGCCTGTTGGCTCTGAAAATCTGCTGGAGGTTCTCACCCAAAGCCCAGTCAACTAGTGTTTCAGCTCTCAAACTCTTGTTTTAATTGGGGGTCAGTTTTCACCAGGTGTGAGACAGAGATATCGACCCCACGCCAAACCCTCAGCAGCAACGTTCCTTAACCCAGAAACTTGGCATCTCAGATTCAAATTTGACCCTGCCTGCCCCTGCCCCTGCCCCTGCCCCACGTGGGATAAACACTGCGAGTCTCCATGATTAATCACTTTCCACCCTATTTGACAGCCACAGATAGTTTTGCCTCTTGCCTTCAGGCATTATCTCAACCTAGGGGTGAACTTGAAACTGCCATTTGAGGCATGCACATGAGGGCTAAAAAGACACTCAGGAGGCCTGACTCACATGTGGGCTGTGGGGGATGTACCTGGTTTCCTCAGGAGGACGACGCACGCCCTTGTACAGCACCTGGAGTTCAACACTGGGGTCGTCCTGTCCATAGATAGGTCATCACCTTCTGCCGAAAAGCCACATACCTTAATTACATGTGGTATCCAGTAAACTTCTCAGAGACCATTGCTCAGACAGATACCCGTGGATGTCAGGAAGGCCAGTTATAGGTCCTGACATAAAAGTGCCCATTTTTTAAACAAATTGGTACAGCCACGTTGGAAAACAGGCAGTGTCTTATGAAGTTAAACATGCATCTACTCTCTCTGACCCACTAAACCCACCCCCAGGTATTTACCCCGGAGAAATGAAAACAAATCCATATAAAGACTTGTACATGAATGCTCACAGCAGCTATATTCAAATCACCAAAAACTAGAAACTCAAATGTCCATCCACTCGTGAATGGAAAGTCAAATTGTGGTGCATCTACATGATGCAAAACCACATGGCATTGAAAAGGAGGCCGCCGTGGATCCACGGTGACCTGGGACAAGTCTCAAATAGCTTAAAATAGGGTGAAAGGCAAATGCAAAGCTCTGTACTCTTTGATTCCCTTTATATGAAATTCTAGGAAAGGCAAACCACAGTGATAGAAAGCAGGTCACTGGCGGCTGGGGCCAAGGGGAAGGGAGACTCCAAAGAGGCTGAAAGGGCTCTAGGGTGATGGGGCATTCTGTATCTCGAGGAAGGTGGTGGTTGCACGACTGTATGTAATTATCAAAACTCAATGAGGGTGCCTTTAAAATGGGTCAATGTTTATGAAACTCAGTGTTTTTAAAGGGTCCCACCTACTTGCTCCAAAACCCCAGTCTACAGAGTCTGTCCCTCTTTCTTTGCCTTACTTGCTGTCTGCACCTCTGTTCCTACAGAAAGCTGTGGTTACACAGACAGGAGTCTGACAGGGATCCCTGGAGTCCCTTCTAGTACACAGTGGCTGTAGATAAAGTGAAGGTTGCTAGGATTCTTACCTGGCCCTGGTTGGCTAGCTCACTACACAGGTGTGGGCAGTACACTGTTATTGACTCTAGAGCTCCTCCCTGTGCTCTGCGTGCACGGTGGCATAGCTGCTGCAGGGCTGCAAGGCTGCAGGAGAGCAGACACTGGAGTTGTGGCAGTGCTGAGGCAGAGACTGAGACGGCTGTGGGGAAAGAGAGGCCCAGAGGCAGAGACTGGCTTGCCGCATGCAGACTCGCCCTGAGTGGACGGGATTCTAGTGATTGACCTGCCACCGTGGGAATAAAGTTGGATATAAACCCTTTCACCCCAAGAGTGTTCCATTGTCATTTATTTGGTCTCATTGAATCCATAGTGAACTTGTCTGGGGCTGAAACCCATCAGCAAGACAGTGGCCAATGTCAGGACAATGACACCCCTTCAGAAAGCCAGAATGGGCTCCCCACCTGGCCACTGGTGGGTCCCAGGGAAAGCAAACAGACATAAGGCATTCTACCCCAGAGACAGTGCACCCCATCACCCCAGGAGAGGGGGTAGATCCATGGTGACTGCTGCACCTCTAGAGCACAGGCAAAGTCAGAGCCCAGAGCAGAACATCAGCCTCAGGGATCGACACTGAGTTCCTGGACCATGAAAGGAAAGCCAGTGTGATGGTTAGAAATTTGCCAGAAATAACATGAGGAGCATCTGTGATTCAAAGGAATGAGATGAGTCTGAAAGTCAGAGGGACTACACAGCAGATGTAAGTGCTGAGAAACGTCACCCAGATGGTCTGGCCAGATTCTAGATGATCTCTCTTTTTTCCTCACCAGGGAACAAACCATGAAGCTTCGTCTTGTTTAGAGGCTAAGCGATGAGAGTCAGCTGTGTTATTATTTTTGCAAACTTACAAATGCACTGAGCCTGGGAAAATTCTTGAGCAAGAGCCTGAGGCACCCACAGTTGGTGTTTGCAGGTCAGCGAAGTGACCGCACTCCCTTCCCGCCAGCGCACTCTCCTGGAAAGGTGTTGGGCAAATGTGAGAACCAACACTACCAGGTCACGTGCCAACCCCTGGGACCAACTTCTGTAAAATAACAAAGAAATCATCACAGATTTTCTTGAAGCCAAAACCCTGAATAACACCAACAATACCACAATAGTCCCCAAATTAAAGGTTGCAACTGCCAGGCCAGAAAGGGCTCTGGGGGCACCCCCAGCCCTGGGCCTCAGTCTCTGCTGAATGCTGCCCACATTCCCATTTTCACAAGCCACAGGGAGGTGCTGGGCCCTTTACAACCAAACTCCAGTGAATTTGCAAAAATAGAGAGGAGAATAGCTAATGACCCATCTCAGCAAAGACTACAACCATCCTATTTCCCAGGGCTCCTCTCAGCTGAGCTGGCCCCCCCAACCCCCACCCTGCTTTCTGCCCCTCCCTCCTCCCCCAGGCGGCGCTCAGCACCATTCTCCATGTTCTCCGCCCCGCCAGGGCAAGAGGCAGACCATATCCTGCCCCCTCATTAGTTAACAGAAGAAAAGCTGTGACAAGGGGAAGAATTAAACTATGGAATGAAAGGTGCAGGGCCATGTAGCTCGTTAGTGGCCAGGCAGGGCCTGCATCCAATCTGTCCTCTCTCTTGTTCCACCCTTCGATTTACTAGGTTGTATTTTAAATTATACGTCCTAAAAGTGAAATACAAACTGAGCTTCTCCCCTAGAAAGGGAGCTTCTCAAATGCCAGCAAGCACCTCTCAGGACCTCAGCCAAGGGCAGAGCCCAGCTGACCAGGGGTGGGGATGTATGTGCTCCAGTTCTGCTCCTGCTGTTCCCTCACAGCCCCGGTCTCTGTTTACCCATCCGTAAAAAGGGTGCCCTGCTGTCACATGGACTAGTCATAAAGAATGAGAGGAAATTAGTGAAAGGCAAACTGTTCCCCAAGGCAACTACCCAAACAACCTTACCTTAGCTTCCACGTACAAAAAACCTTTACCCACCAGTAGCCCATTAGTTATCAGCCAATAAACTACTCCAGGCTTACACTGCTTGATTTCAGATGATACAACGGAACTGCCCTGCCCTTGAAGGAGTCCTGCCTCCCCTGGGCTGTGCCCAGGCTGGCTGCAGGAGTGAAGCAGGAGCCTGTGCAGAACCTTCACCAGGAAAGCTGAGTCCTTCCCAAGTCCGAGCCCAGGGTCAACCGGAAAGTGGCTGCCACTGCCGGGACTTACCCAAGGCCAGGGGCAGAGTCCCAGAACCGCCTCCCCTCTGTGCTGCAGGGAGCGTGCCTGCTGTCCACATGCCAGACGGCCACAGAACGCAAGTGGGCCAGCAGTCCTTCCGCTCCCACATGCCCACCTTTCTCCCCTCCACCTAAACTTGGCTCAGTGACACTCCCACCCACGCTGAGTCAATGGCATAGAGGAAAGAGAGGGAGAACACTGACCAGCACCTCCGCCATTCCAGATGCTTCTGTATGCATCATCAGCTTCTTTAAGCCTCCTGGCAACTCTGATGTGGCTATCATCGCTCTCATTTATGCCAAGAACGCAGAGCAAATGAGCAGGCTATAGGGGGCTCAGGTGCAGGCCTGCCCCAGGGCGTCACACAGCACCCCGCCCACCCCAGCTCCACGACCTCCACCCAGAAACCACCCTGACTGGCGAGGTGAGTCTCTGGGAGCACAGACGGCCTCACACCGGCTGTGTCTGCCGCTGAACATTCCCCTCAGAGATGCCCAACAAGGTCCTTCAAATGAAGTGAATCTGGGAATAAGAGGCCAACCCACAGCCACCTACAGCAGTTGACCCCAAGAGAATAGTTGGGACCAACGAGGGATACTGTGGGTGGATAGCTGGAGGGACTCCTGCTGGGTCTGAATGGCGCATACACACGTGTCCCTGGCAGTGGTACTGCATGTTTCAATGGCCTTAGTTGGGTGGCCACATTGAGGACTTGAAGCTTCCTAACCTCCCAGGCCATCAGTGAGGGACTCCTGGGACCTGCCACCTGTGGGCCAAGAGGGCAACACAGGGCGGGTAACAAATCAACCTGCCTTGCTCCTGCCCTCAGAGGTCCGAAGCTGTGCTCTCTTCAGCAGTGGCCTGATGATCCCTCAGGAAATTCCAATGACTTAACATTGATCCAAATGAAGCTCCTTTCAGTGGGTCCCTGGGGTGGATATCCACACACACAAGGGCTCTGTGGGTGGAGGCTCTGACGGGGGAAGGGGAGACACCATGGTCATAAAAAAACAGCAGGTTACCTAGCCCAGAAAAAACAAACTTACATGTCTACACACCATTTCATGTCCATCAGGATGGTTACTGTACCCCCTCCAAAATATACACACACACAGAAATAACAAGTGTTGGCAAGGATGTGGAAAAATTGGAACCCTTGTGCACTGTTGATGGGACCGTAAAATGATGTAGCCACTATGGAAAACAATATAGCAGTTCCTGAAGAAATTAAATCTAGAATGACTACAGGATTCAGCAATTCCACTTCTGGGCATATGCCCAAAAGAATTTAAAGTAAGTTTCAAAGAGGTATTCGTACACCCGTGTTCACAGCAGCACGATTCACAGCAACTAAAGCATGAAAACAACCCAAGTGTCCATGGATGGGTGAATGGATAACCAAAATGAGGTCTGCGCATGCGATGGCGTATCACTCAGCCTTAAAAGGGAAGGAAATCCTGACATCTGCTACAGCACCAATGAACCTTAAGGACATGGTGCTAAGTGAAATAAGTCAGACATGAAAGGAAAAATACCATATGACTCCATTTATATGAGGCACGTAGCCGAGTCAAATTCATAGTCAGAGAGTCAAATGGTGGCTGCCAGGGATTGAGGACCAGGGAGTCAGTGCTTAATGGGTACAGAGTTTCAGTTTTACAGGAGGAAACCCGGAGATGGGTGGTGGTGATGGTTGCACAGCAGTATCAATATATTAAATACCACTGAACGGAAAATGATTAAGTTGGTAAATTTTATGGTTAAGGGCATTTTACCAAAATTGTTTTCAAATGTCCACACATATTAAAACTAAAAGCACCCAATCCTTATTGCTCCGTGTTGGCCAGATTCCATTTTGTGTTTTGTTTTGCTGGGACATTTTCCTCCTCAGCTTCATACCCATCAGGTGCCAATTTTGTTAATGGCAGAATGAGATTTAAATCAACTCTCCTCCAGAGAAAGGACAAACGCAAGAAGTGGACAACTTGCCAGGCCCGAGGAACAGGAAAAGAAGTCAACATTGGTTCAGAAGGTGCTGGCTCTGCGGGCAGCCTGGCCCTGCAGGTGGCTGGGAGGTGGGCTTGCCTGTCCTGTGTGAGGGGTTCTTGTCTCCTTCTGAAACCTGATGAAATGGGGAGGCTAAGGGGGCAGGGTGGACCCCGGACCAGATTACAATCCGCAAAATGTATTATCATTGTTCTTCTGGGTTCTAAAATTTTCTGTCAATGAGTCACAAAGGTTAACTGGAAGGCTCTTAAATTAAAAACCCACAGAGTTTTCCTTTTATAGACTGTCCTCAGCAGACCTCTGAGTGTTCCCTCTGTCCTCATCCCCAAGTGGCAGCTGCTCTTAGCATGTGTGTTTACAGCAACACCAGTAGTTATTGCATGTTCCATTCCACGGGATTACACATTGCCATAAAGCCCAGGCTGGGGCAGAAACTATCTTTCCCTCCTGAGAAAGGCTGAATGAGGCAAACCCCGCAGCGGTGTGCAACGTGTGCCACCTACTGGCCACGGATGAGATCACATAGCAAATGTCAAAGGGGTGGACAGGACTTTGCCACCTGCGGAGGGCCAGCCAGCAATGCGGGGCAGAAGGAGTGGTTTGAGCACAGTCTGACTATGTGGAGCCTAAGAGGCAGGAGGCCACCAAGGAGGCAGCCACACCTCTACAATCAAGTGTCCTACAATCAAGTGTGGATGATAAATGATCAGCAGAGATGTGGGGAAGAATGGAATTGGATTTAAAGAGAATACAGCCAGAAGTAAAGTAGACTAGACCCAAGGACATTCAGTGTCTGGGTCAGGGAGGCAAAGGGACTAGAGAGAAGTGACCAGAGAGGTGGAGGCACCCACAGGATTGGGTCACCCAGGCTGAGGACACTGAAGCCAAATGACAGAGACCAGCAAGTGTCCAGGGATTCTGCAGAACAGCCTCAGAGGACCCTTCTCTGACCACTCCTCCCAGGTCAACAGTGATTAAACACACATGAAAAACACAAACCAGTGGGCTAGTCCCCTGTGCCCTTGTGACTTGTGTACCTTTCAGGATGTATGTTTTATAGCAATAAAAAAGAAATAAAAACAAAAATTTTAAAGCCCTCATCTGTACTTCTCTATAGATCAAAAGAAAATATTCCTATCCAGACTACCACTTTCTGAAAAAATTGATTATTCTTTTTCTGGTGAAAAAGCTGAGAATTCATTCACTCATTTATTCACTGTTTATTGAGCACCTACCATGTGCCAGATAGTGTTCTAGGAAATTAGGATACCTCATGAGAAAAAAAGATAAAGATGCTTGCCAGTGAGAAGGTTATATTCTAGAAGAGGGAGAGAGATCATTAGCTTAAAATGTAACTTACATAACAGAGTGAAATATGCTAAGTGCTATGAGAAAGCAGGAATACAGTAAGAAGACTCAGGAGTGCCAGTCAGGACAGGGAGGGAGTTAGACTAATTTGGCATAGAACGGTCAAAGGGGTGGACAGGGCTTTGCCACCTTTGGCTGTCAAGGAGGGTTAGCTGTTGAGAAAGTGACATCTGAGCAGAGGCAGGGACCGTTTAATGATAGGTCACACAGTACTTGGGAGAAGCAGAACAGAAAAGCCTCAAAGCAGTCAGAAGATTTCATCATGATTTCTTACGAATCCATCCACAGAGTTGGGCACAAAATTTAGGAAGGGTGACCAGAGAGCTCTCCAAGATATGAGACTTAGCAAGCACCTGCGGCTCTGATAAGTGAGGCACCTGACCCTAGGGGTCAGGCCTCTGAGTGGCCTTGGCCAAAGCTGGAAAACACACACATGACCAAGAGAAATACTCTGAGTGGTGTCAAACCTCAATGGCAGAAACCTGCAAAGCAGGTCAAGGAGATACCAGCAAAAGCAGCCTCTGAGGGTCCAAATGTGACAATGGAGGAGGAGGGGGTCTGCCACTCACAGCCAAAGTGGGAGTATTGGCATGTGATAAAACAGGAGAACCTGGCAGGTTCTAACACTCAGAACTAGGAAGAGGAGGCTCTGCTTCCAAGGAGACCGGCTCCTGTGAGTGGGCCGTGTCTCCTGGCCACATGGATTTCATCCCTGGCCAACATTCGAGCCCCTCTCGATGACCTGCTAGGAACGAGAGAGAAAAGAAGGGATGCCAGAAGACCAGAGATGGGGAAATGTAGTACTGGGCTGCAAAGGGGACCACGGGGGTGAGCCTGGAGAGGAAAGACGGAAGGAAGTAGCTCATGACAATGATGGTCAACTGCTGCATCACCAGCCCTGGGCCACCCCTCTGGGCCTCATGACCTGTTCAGGCCTGTTGAGTTGGGGCTTTTTCTTCCTCACAGCAAAAAGCAATGGTCCATATTTCTAGTTACAGACAAGAGAATCCCCTCTAGCTAGCTGAAGGAGTAATCAGCTTATTACAGGATAAAGAGAGCAACAAAATCACTGGGTGCTGAAGAGGCCCCCAGCACCACAGCGCAGAATTGACCTGGCAAGGTGTAGCCTCTTGGGAACGCCCCGAACCAGAGACCACAGCCCAGTCACCGGCCCATCCCTGGCAGCTGTTCGCACTGAAGACGCTGAGCGGGTGATTACAACTAGACCCTAAGTCAGGTTTGCACCTTAAACTCAAAGAAGGCTGTGAAATGGAGGGCTTTGCGGCTCCACGCTGGAAGGCAGGGCTTATACCATGGGAGCTATCCAACAGGGAAGAGGGTGCTGGAGGTCTTCGGGTGCCACCGATGCCAGTGGCAGGCCACAGCATGGTTGCTGGTTTGCCAAACACCTTCCAGAACGAAGGCAAATGACTCCGTCCAACCTGGACTCCAGAAAAAACAGGGCCCAGTCATCCCTGCCTCCTTTCAGACATGGAAGAAAACAACACTCAGCATCAGAAAAATAAGAAAGCATGTTGCTGTTCACCAAAAAGTGTCTCCGCAAAGGGTCTCCACGCAAGTAGCCGCGTCTCTGGAAGCCCTCCAGGCAGCGATCCAGGGAGCTGCAGGCTCCTTCCATGTGTCCCGCTCAGAGACCACTCTTGTGCACTGCCGCTGGGCCATTATCTTGAAAACTGGGTTGGTTGGTTGTTTTCACATATTTTGTCCTGTGTTTAGTTATTGCCAGTGGGAGGGTAAATCCAGTCCCTATTACTTCATGTTAAGTGGAAGCAGAAGTGCAGAGCAGTGAGTCTTGAGGTTAGACACCTGGCTGAGAGCTGCAGACCCTCCGCCTGGCAACCGCAGAGGAGGCAATCCCCAGCCAGGGTGTGCAAGCCCTCGAGCACATGGGTGTTTTTAATGTGTGATAACTTGAATGGCACTCCCAGTCCTTCACACCCCAGTAGTTACACATTCCTGACCTTGTCACGGCCTCAGGGTGGGCGGAGCGCGCTCCCCATACAGGGAGTGCGCAGCTAGCCCTGAGAAGGCAGCCTTGACATAACATAGGTTTGAGCTCGCTTCCAAGCTGGCTTTGGACAGGGGCAGCACCCAGGGGGCCATCTCCATGGACTCTGCAGAAGGAGCTTCTCCACTCTGCCTGCAGGGATGTTTCCTACAGAAGGTTATGGTCACTATTTTGGCTGCAGGCACAGCGAAAATGGCATTGGGAGCAAGTTCGGGTTCAGAGACTGAGTGTGGCTTGATCCCAAATGCACTGTGCCAAGTAAAAGAAAGATAATTTGCTACTGGCCTGAAAACTCTAGCCACAGCAGTACTTGAAATTCAAATAGGGTCAGCTTGTCTCCCCAGACAAGATGAAACAGCTAAGCAAGAACGAGGCCCTCACTGGGAGAGCAAACAGCCTGTAAAGACCCCAAAACAAGCAGGCCATCCTCTCCTGGGTGGCCACTGGGGGAGTGAGCCTAGGGCAGGAGCTGCAGCAAAAGGGGCCTCCTGGGGTGCTGGAGGGTGGGGCCATTTGATGGGTCTACCACTGGCTCCATCTTCCTGTTGGGCTGATATGCTGAATCCAACAGAACCCCTGGGTCATGTCACCTCCAGAATGATACATGACCAGCCTCCACACGCCCAGCCACAGGGACCCTGGTTGAGGCTGCACAGATCCCACCTGGCCCAGAGGCAGCCCTGTAGGAGGAGCCCCAGGGAGGGAGGAGGAGGCAGACAGAGAAGGGCAGGTGGGCTTTGCTGTCTCTTTCCCTTACTTTTCTGCATTCTTAGGAGTAACATGTGAAGATGTTTGTTCATCAGTCCTGTGGCCAGGTCCGGGAGGGTGAGGGCAGCTTCCCCGCCCCTAGCCCGGCCCTCGGCCACTCACCGCCTGACTCCTGCAGCCACTTGTGACTCTCCCCGACCCTGCCTTCCAGGGAGTGGCTTCCTCTGGTCTCCCCGAAGACCCCGCAGACTCCACTGGTGCTGGCCCCTCTCCTCTTCCCTGGCCTCCCACTCATCTCACAAGTCCCTTCATCCTCACTGAATTTCAGGGCCCCTTGTAGTCAACCCCAGAGGTCTGCCCCTGCGCCTTGCTGTATCTGAACATGTCCCAGACTTAACCACCTCCCCCACTGCCACTCTGGGGACTCACAGTAATGCCACCTTGAGAATGTGGCTTTGCTTGTGTGTGTGGCCTATGTGTGCCTGTCTAGATTACATTTTTTTCCTTCTTTTATAAGGACCCAGAACGTAAGAACTGAATTTATTCCATGTATGTAAACCCAGGCACTGAACTAGATTATTGTGATAAATAACAGCACAGAAAAAATTAAAAAATGGAAAGTGACATCAATGCCATGGACAGTGTTAAGATTCTTAACTTCAATAGAGGACCAAGTAAACTATAACCTCTGCTCCCCATCCCATCATTGCTCAGAAATAGCCAAAGACAAAACCACATCATATTTCAAAAAAATGATGCTCTCGCTGGCCATAGCCCTCCTGGCCATGGCCAAGATTTTCAGTGGCCCTCTCTCTGGCCCTGCTTACTGATCCTGTAACTCACAGATTCCCCCAAGCCCCAGCATCTACCATTCAGGAATGCCAGGCTGCATGGCTCAATCAATGCAATTCACAGCCAGAGCCACACAAGCACCACCCTTCCTTACCTTGGCCACCATGCGGCCAAAAGCCCACAGAAAAGGAAACATGACCATGGACCCAGTCACTATCAACAGGAATAAAGATGCTTACCAACTTCTCCAAAAGAGAAATTATCCCTAGATTAATCAACATCCATAAATACATTTGTACTTCCTAACAAGTTGTCCTATAATATACTATACATTACTGTTAATTAAAACATCATAAATTCCTCGTACTTATGTCACCCTTTACACTTTCAAAACACTCCAAACAACATGGTAGCCCCTTGGGAACCATATGAAATCTGTAAGCTCCTGGCTTTTTTTACAAAGACATAAATAAAATCCCTCTATGGTGACATTTTCACAATAATTTTAAAGTACAAATAGACTAAGCATGCACATTCTCTCAAGTTATTAAGTACACAGTCCAGGAGAATTTTTGCACAGAAACAAGTATGTTTGCATGTTGCTCTTCAGGCCTTCTCCCGAGAGGGGGCACTCTAAGCCAATTTAAGCATGTTTAATAGCCAATATCAGCCCCTGAAATTCTCCTGGCTAGGCCTAAACAGTTCACGAGAATCAGCTCATCCTCCCAACAACCTTGGGACATAAGGATTCAGCTGTGTGGCACACACACCAAGGACTCATGACCCATATTCAGTACCAAAGCGCTTTTATAATTACATCCTGGAACAACAGGCTACGTTTGAGCAACGTTTTCTCCCTGAGGCATTCGCCAACCCTTAAAGCCCTTCTACCTAAAACAAATGAACACATCGCTTTTCTTTCTCTCTCACAGATCTATTGGGAGGGAAGGGAAAGAGGACTAAGACCACAGCCGTGTCCCCTCTGCCAGGGAGAATATCCAGCCAGGCCTGAGGGGTCTCAGAAAGAGAAAGATCTTGGTGGTCTAGGGGGTCCTCAGAGAAGCCCACTTGCTATGGATATTTCTCAGCCTCCTTTGGGAGAAATAAGCATCCATTTCCAGTGGAGGGATGAAGGAAAAACACGTTTCCCCAGCCCAGAACTACCTGTCCCCTCCCCAGCCTGCATTCATGACTCAAATGCAAGTGACCCCAATGAACCACACACCCCCAGTACCAACGAACCACGCCTCTCAGTGCCTAGGGCTCAAGTCTCCTGTCACCAAGTCTAAGCTTGTGCCACTCTCTGCTCAACGTGCCAATAAGTCAAGAGATACGTGTTGGGGCCACAAGGGAGACTATGAGGAAAGCCAGCAGCCTAAGATGGTGGACTAATGTCCTAAAGCACCATCTTAACTTAGAGTTGATTTCAACCCTCTTTTCTATTAGGGAAGGGGTGAAAGGAGGGGGCTGAGGTGAGGAGGTGATGACCGACCTCAGACATCTGCATGTCAGCAGGGGTCTGAGAAGGGTGGCAACACTCCGTGTCCCTGGTCAGCTGACTCCAGTCACTTTTGTTGACATGGGTCTCACCGTGATATTTCCAAAAGTCCCTGACAACCCAGTTACCATTTTTGTACAAACTTCTTTTTTTGCTTGTTTGTTTTTTCATTTTATTATCATTAATCTACAATCACATGAAGAACATTATGGTTACTAGACTCCCCCCTTCACTAAGTCCCCCCCCCACAAATCCCATTACAGTCACTGTCCATCAGCGTAGTAAGATGCTGTAGGCTCACTACTTGTCTTCTCTGTG